CTCTGCATGGAAGCCCTGCACCCCGATCCCAGGTGCATAAGGATAGGATGTTGCTAGTCAGTGGTGAGGGAGGTGTGCTCAGAAACATCCAGACATATCATTGGGCTAAGCATCGCTATAGGAAACAAGACTCCCACAGTCAAGAAAGAGGAAGCTGTAATCTTTCTGTATAGCAGGGGCAAAGCCATCTACATTGACATTATTTTTAAACCATCTTCTTCTCCTTCAGAGACAGTCTCAAAGCAGTTAGAAATCTACTTACCTAATAACCCTTTCTAATTATTGGCTGAGTTGCTGTGATGTCACAGAATGTTAAGGGGGTGGGAAGAGAACACACATGCACAGAGAGCCTTAAAATTCTTCGTCACAGTACTGCAAAGCCAGTTTTATGGACTGGGAAGACCTGGGCTGAAACTGTCCCTCACTTATGGACCTTAACTGAGTTACTCAGCCTGTCCGACCTGATGGGGTTTTGGGGAGGAGAAAATGAAATGACTCCTCTCCATTTTGTATGTTGCCCCGAAGGGGAAAAGATGCTGTAAATGTTTTGCTGAATGTGTGTCTCATTCTCTCTAACCAGGGTTGCCCCCCAAAATGTACTGTTGCTCTAACAGAGACTCCTTGGGATGTTATCAGGTGACTGTGATTTGCGGCCATGCCATGAAAGCGTCTGCTACCTGTTCCCACTCGCTTTATGTTTATTAGGTACTGTCACGCCGCTTCCAACCTATGGTGACTGTATGAACTCCAAAATGTCCTAGCACTGGCAGTCTTGATTTGCAAACAGATGGCTTCCTTGAGTCCTGGCATCGCCGGTGGAGCTCTTGATAGCACTGTGTGACACAGAGTATTGGGACCGGATGGGCCAGTGGCCTGAACGAACATGGCTTCTCTTTATGTTCTTAATCCACTACATGTTGGGGTCTTCCTTTTTTCCTGCTGCCTCCAACTTTTCCCAGGATGATTTATCTTTTCCAGCGACTCCTTGTCTTCTTTTAATGCGACCAAAATACGACCTCAGTTTAGTCATTTTGGCTTCTAGGGAGAGTTCAGGCTTGATTTGATCTAGAACCCGTTTATATGTCTTTTTGGCAGTCCGCAGTATCTGTAAAACGCCTCTATTAAAGGGACAGTTAATTTTTCTCCGGGCCCTATTCCTAATCTTTCACCCTCCTTACTTTTGTATTTCCAGTTTGTAGTATGAGCACCCACACAGAAATGGGTTAATCTTAACAGCAGGATCTAACTTGTGTACCGAGGGACACTGTGGCCCTATCACATGATAGCAACAGGCATGTGTGCATAGCTGTGTGTGCAGATTGTTGTTTTCCTTCCCTTACTCCCAGCCAGAGCCCACACTTGCAGCTTTGCAGGAAGGTGTTTTTTTTTTTTTTAATCTTCTTTTTTACTTTATTTATATCCCACCTTTTAACCCGATAGGGACCCAAAAGCAGCTTATGTGAGCCAGTTTGGTGTAGTGGTTAGGAGCACAGACTCTGGTTTGATTCCCTGCTCCTCCACGTGCAGCTGCTGCTGTGACCTTGGGTCAGTCATAAGTTCTTTCAGAGCTGTTCCCTCAAGGGCAGTTCTGAGACCTATCTCACAGAATGTCTGTTGGGGGTAGGGGAAGGAGATTGTAAGCTGCTCTGAGACTCCTTCAGGTAGTGAAGGGTGGGGTATAAATCCAATCTCCTCCTCTTCTATCAATCTCCTCTCTGTTTTATCCTCACAATGACCTTACTTGTGAGGTAGATCGGGCTAAGAGCTGTGTGACTGGCCCAAGGTCACTCAGGAAGCTTCCATGGAGATTCGAACCAGGATTTCACAGATCCCAGTCAAACACTTTAACTGCTACATGAATGCTTGCATGCGTGGTGGGAATGGAGATATTTTCAGACATATGTCTGAAAACATGGAAGGGGGAGTGGGGAATTGCTGGTTTCCTCTTTTAAAATGCCCTCTTTCAGACTACAGCGGGGAGATTCCGCTGTTGAACACCACTCTATGGATTTTTTTTTAAAGAATAGCAAGACACTGTTAGCCTAACCAACATCACAGGGTTGTTGTGAGGAGAAAACCAAGGACAAAACTATAAGCTGCTTTGAGATCCCACTAGGCAGAAAGGCAGTATATAAATGAAGCAAAATAAAATAAATAAAATTGTTAATGGTAAGGCATATTTTGTTTGAATGACCTCCTTCCGTAACAATAACATCCTGAGTGTAGAGAACTAGCACAGCAGCACTAGTGTTTTGGTGTGTGTGTGTATGGGGGTGTGTGTCTTGCGTTTATTTAATGCAAGGCAGAAGTAAAAATTGGCAGGGCCCCACTTGCTGTCTGACATGGAACCAGAGGTCATTTCGGGGGGGATTGCGGGGGATCGCAGTTCCCCCGGGTGAGGTACGGGGGGCGGGGCACAGATGAAGCACGGCCC